TGATATGGCAACCCTCTTTCTTTATGACTCCATTATGACTATGCACTCAGGATCCAAGAAGAAATACCTGTAAATAAATACCTGTAAAACCATTAAAGATCCTGTAAGTAGGATCAATAGTTACCATAAGAGGTTTGCCTAGAATGGATGCTGCACTGATTCTACATTTTGGATAAAAATAGTTAATCTCTTTTTAAAAAATTGTTTCCATTAATGTAAAGTGCTGAAAGTGGATTATTTATATATATAAAAGATTGCTTGTAATAAGACTTGCTGTGCATATTGAGACTCACTAATAAGAATAATGGCTATGTGTATTTGTTATGGTGTGTTGATGACATTGAGAGAGGCAAAGAGTATCAAGAAGATATCAAAGCATGTTTCAAGATTAAAGTAGCTTTCCTTTAACAGTTGACAACAATTTCTGTTGCCATACCTCTTATGTTTTTATATAGCTAGGCAGAAATAAAGAGAATTGACTCATGTTTTCATTGTTACCATTTCAGAGGTCTCTGGTAGCTTTCTGATTTTTTTTTCTTTTGTCTGTGTGACAGCACAGTATGAAATTGGTTTCCTGGATCTCAAAGTACTTAATGCAGTCTTTAGCTACATTTTTATTATTACATTCTCCCAGTGGTGTTAAACTGTGACAGAAACTTACTTCACGTTTGATTTTGTGTTACGGAAATGCAAGATAATTTGTTGCGTAGATTTCCAGAACATTGCTTAATGATTCATTCTGACAGACTGAGCTTCTATTTATCCTAAAATAAATAGATACCATTATATTCCTCGGTTATTCCAGTGTGTTTTGTCTATAGTTATTAGCTGAAGTGGCAGAAGCTGGGCAGGACAGAGGGAAGAGCAAGCACGCCGAGGATATGGCCATGTTGCTGTACACTTCAGCCCTGAGGTGTGGAATTTTGGGGCGCTGGTTTTCTGCGCTGTTTTCCAGCCAAGAAAAAGCCACTGGATGGTGCTGTGGAGACAATTTGCAGTCGTGGCACAGACCTGCAAGGTGCACAGCCTCGTAGGCTTCTGCGTGAGACATGAGAGAGGCTCACACAAAGAATTAAATTTCCCCTTCCGTTTCTTTTATTTCTTTTCTGACACGGTTCAGTGTCTTTTTCTGGCACTGCACTCACAATAATATAGCCATAAAGCTGTTTGATTTGGTGGTAGTAGAGCATGTCATCTCCCTGGGCATTTAAGCAGGTATGTATTTGGGCAGAGAGCTTTAGCCTCTTATCACTTGATAACTGACTCCATGGAAGGGAGGGGAAACAGCTTTGCTCTGTCTGTGCCCTGCTGTGGTCACTGCTGTCCTTGCTGGAGGGCTTGCACGAGAAGAATTTCCTTTTCATCACTGCTATGGTGGGACCGCTATGGAGGATCAAGAAAGCAGAGATCTATTACAGTCAGACCCCAAAACCTCTGCACCTCAGGAGAATTCAGCACTAGGTGCTCAGATCCTGCTTCCATGGGTGCCTTCTATGCAGGTTCTGAACTCCAGTGAGATCCACATCAGCAGGTGTTAAACACTACAGTACAGGTGCCTGTGTGAGATACTTTCTTACATATTGCCACGCTGCAGCCCATGTGGACAAAATGCTTAGGCAAAGGCTGGTCACAGATGGGACTCATCTCGTAGGAATGCCATTTTCTCCTCAGTCTGGACACGGCACTTTGCCTTCTGTAAACGACTGCAGAGAATCTCATCCTCACAGCCCACAGAGACACAACTGGCCATGGCCTTCAGGGAAAGGACATGTAAGCAATATTGCAATTTGGAAGGAGGAATTTACAAACATTATGTCCATGAGTATATGAAACGAACTGAGTTATATCATCTCAGCTGCATATTTGAATTCAAATTTGCTCGATAAGCTAATTTCTTTTGTTTTCTAAGTGTCACAATCACTATTGCTCAGATATCAGAGGGAGAAATTAGACTGCCATTTAATTTCTTGGAAATTAATATTTTGTTCAAGATAAGTTCCTTAATGTTTCTCTGCACTAGCTCCAGTTCCTTCCAGATCACTCTTGAGTATTTAGATTTTGCAAATAGTCCATTGCATTCTCTTAAATTTACCAAATCTCTGAAAATGTATGACTATGAATAAAATAAGTGGAACGATCATGCAGATAAACACACAGGATGATACATTTTATTTATCAGAAGAAATATAACGAGGATATATTTCTAATAGTTATTCAACTTTACTCATTATATTTCTCTAGAGGAGAGATTATTCAGAACAGCTGGTCAGATAATATAAAGTAGAGCTTAAAAGTTATTAGCAATGCTACTGAAGTTATACATGTTTCTGGTGTAAAAAATGGTAATAAATAAGTGCATTTAGTGATATTAGGATATTTTGTGCAATATAACGAATTTGTGTAAATAATATTGACAATATTGATTTATGAAATCTAACAATGATTTTGCCCAGTAGGTCTTAATGGAAATGAACTTACAGACACGGGAAAATATGAATATGAAAATCCAAAAGCTTTATCAATAATTGCTTTCTGGAGTTTGGTTGACAACCTATTTATTTTAAAATACAATCTAATGCTGACATTTTCACTGAGATTATACCTTTTCACCACTCCTACCCAATGACTTTGCCTAAATACAAAATGTAGCATTTAGTGACTTGCTAGAATTCTTTTTTCCCTCCACTATCTTAGATAATTTTGTGGGTGGAAATAATTCTCTGTGTAATTGTATTATTTGTGCAAGTAACTGTCAAGATTTTCCAGAATTTTTAGTTTTATTATGCATGTTAAAATTTTTGAATAGTTTTTCAAAACTAGTGAAATTTCTTGAAAAAAATCAGATTTTCTAATCACTGAGATCCTGTGACTGTTAGACCATTTTCTTCCATGTAATAATTCTATGTCTATAGAAACCTTTCTCCCTGCTAAAATATTTGTATTTATCATCATTTAATTTTAATGTCAAATCACTTCATAATTTAAGGACCATTTCATGTGTCACTAGTATGCTTTTTTTCACACATTAATAAAGTGCATTTTTCATGCTTTGTCTTCTAAACAATGTTTGCCAAAACATTCAATATCAACAATCTAAAATGTTAAATTTGAAAGTAATTTTTAAAAAGTAATTATAATGATGCTCTAACATCTTGTTTCTATCAGGAAAAAATGCCAAGGTCTGACGGCTTATGAAATTAATATATTTAATTCAGAGGAAGTAAATCTTTAAAAAGTAGCCTGCTGCTGGATTAGTCTTAATAAATTACTGTTAGTGAAAGAAATAATTTGTGTAGAGTAAAAGGGAAAACACAATACCATTATCTTTAAATAGACAGATTTAGTAAAGAATATATGGTTAGATTACTTTTGGCTTTTGAAGAAATCCTGCAGGAGAGGAATGGTGTAGCAATTCTTTTCATGGAGCACAGCCTTACATTTCCCACTTATTCTTCTCGCTTTCTCTGCCCCATGAGAAGACAGCGCTGGTGCCAGGTAGACCTGATTTTGATCTGTGATATAGGCAGGAAACAAGACCACACTGATGATGAGAAAGTGTCCTCAAATATTTTCCTGATGTGGTTGACATCAGTGGCTTCATTGCTGTTTTTCAGCCATGAGCAAGGGCTTCTGGAGCCAGGAGGTGTGTGATACCCCTGAGCAGCATGGTGAAATCATGCCTCAGGTTTTAGCTTTTATATTTTTCAGCTTCTGTACTGCTTTGGTGTTTACTTCTGAGCTTCTGAGCTTTAAATTAGGAGACAGCAAACAATTAGGTAGACCAAACAATTCCTTCTCTAGCTGGGGACCAAGGACTAATGATCCAAATTTCAGGTCCAAGAGCATAAACAACAGTGGACTGAAGAGAGAAAAACAAGAAGGGTAAGACTTCATGGGCTAAAGTAATTGGACAATTAACTCCAAGATGCTAATGGACCAGAACTTATAAAAGTGTGAGACCCTGTTACTGGTTGTCCATTTTGTGACCATTTTAGGCTCATCTTGGGTGTGGTCCTGGCTGGGCTCTTTTACTGCCCAAGGTGTATTCATTAAGGCCTTTTAATAAATATCCACTTTATTCTTTGACTCCATCTAGCCTCTTCTAAGTCAGCCTTCACAAGGCATCAAATAAATAATCTTCATTGTTATCTGACCAAGTTATACACTTCCATTAATGTAAGTCAGTTCAGGTATTGCTTGTATTCTCATAAGATGGGGTTTGTTTTGGTAACAAATGTCTCTTTGTTGATCTCTTGTGCAGCTGAGATATTTAAGAGAGTTCTCCTCTGTCTCCTTTTTATCTCATGTTCAGAAACAGACTTTACATCAGCTTAATGGCACAGATAGTTGTAGCTCTGCTCCCTTGAAGCATGCTAAAACATTGCCAGTCATCACCCAGGCACCAGGAAGTGACAGTCAAGCAGCTGAATGGGCCTGAAATAATTTCTGGATCCCTTAGGATTCCTGTATGGCAGCACATACCCACAGAGACCATGCCAGCTCAGCATGTAGGCTTCTCCATCCACAGCCCCCAGCCTAGCTGGCAGCAAGTGTCTGTCACTCTGGGGGCTTGGAGGGCAGGCATGGGCACAGGACCTGCTGCTTGGGTCCCTCCCTGCCCCTCCAGCATTCCCAGACAGCTTTGGCTCACCGTGGGGCTCCCACACAGACCACCATCCAAGCTACACCCTCCTAACAACTATAGCAGAGGAAATATCTTCTATGTATAGAATTAGTCCAAATTTCCTTCTATTTCCTTCTTCTAATTCTAAAAAAAAAAACCTCGTACACTGTGGGCAGTGTATGCCATACTGTAGCTGTTTTTCCACTAAAAGGTGCTAGAGAGAAACTATTTTAGAAGCCCAAAATGTTTTATTAATAACCATGTTAGGAGCACTAAATGATGTGACATGCCTGAACTTCCCTGGATTTTTAATTCTGGATTTAAACATTACATGGAAAACTGTTTTTTAAAGGAATTATTCATTTTTTTTCCTTGCAGTCATATCCTCTCTCACAATTTATTTGGATTGTACTAAAAGTGTAAAAGCTGTTTAGATGAAGAAATTTTTCAGCAGAAGCAGAACAAGTAATTCTGAAAGTCAAGCTCAGCTGACCTTCCTAGGTACGTTCCAAAAATGCTCTTTAATTTTGCTTTGTTTGACATGTTGCTTTGAAGTGTTTTTTTCAGTTATATTTTAAGAAATGTTTTTCAAAACTACCAAAGCTCACATGAAGGCTTGGAGGAAGTTAGCTTAATACAGAATTGCCTCCCATAGGAAGTTAACCCTATATTGTCCATGGATTTTAATTTTTTTTTTATTTCTTGGCAAAAAAATGGCCCCAGTTGCCATTTGCTCCACCTTGCCAGATTCATATGAGAAATAAATCTTCTGTGATAGCAGGACATGATTGGAAATTTTCTGTCTATTGCCTGTAAAATCATGTGGCTAATAAAATAGAGATCCATCTCAGAAAATGACAGAAGCTGAAGAAAAAACAGATAGTCTTCTTTTCTGTGATTAATGACTCAACATAATAATGAGACAGTGTTTCAGTTGCAGCCTTTCTCTAATGTCTTGGTGTCTCATATGAAATATTCCAGTTAAAAGCAATAAATGGATATGCTTTTTTCTTTTCTTCCTACTTTCTATCTTTTTCTCATTAATCTTCATTAGGAAGCCTCCAACCCATGACTTAGAAAGACTCAGACATTAAAAAATGTGTTTCCCAGACTAGTACCCAATCTGCTTGAACACATGGGTGACATCAAACTACTTGTAATGGTCTTGCTCACAAATAGCCTTGTCTTTATAATGGTGTTTGGCAAGGTTTCATCTTATGTCAATAAAGACACACAGAATGCATCTGCATTTTAAAATAGAGGACGCAGTTACAGAATCTGTGCATATACTGGCAAACTTAAACTATGCTAATTGGGTTTTTTTCTTGTTTGGGGTTTGGTTTAGTTCTGAGGTTTTGGATTTTTTTTTTTTAAATTTGTCATCCTCCCCCTCTGTCTTCCATAGAAAGCATCAAAAACATTCAGAGGACTGTGCCACAGTACTATTTATTTTATGGCAAGAACCAGAGGTGTAAAATGAATACCCAGGGGTGGGACATGAAATCTTGGGTGGGTGTTTGCAGACCAATCTCCCAGACCATGCTGGGGCAGTGTCAGTGAGGGGTGAAGGAGCCAGGACAGGTGGCACCACACCTGCCCTGCCACGCTGAGTTTTGCTGTGGGAGGAACATACACAAAAGAAACTCCAACATAAAATAGTTTTAATGTTATATGTCAAATATGTGGAGAGAGATCCAGAAGTGCAATAAAGAGCTAACATTTTTGACTGTGCAGAAATAGCCAGTTTCACAGCTGCTATGTAAAAGCTGCTATGTCTTTTGCTCCTATTGTTTTTAAAGCCATATAACCATGGTGCAAAATATACTAAATTAAGAAAGTAATGGAATGAGGTTGAACACTGGACATCAAGCGTTCACACAGTTTATGCCTTTTTTCCAGACCCCTCTAGTTAGATATGAAACAAGCAACACCAAATGCCAGTGAGTGTTTACTGACCCTCTCACTTGCACAGTTAAGTCTGTATTCTTCTCAGGGAAGTGCCTGTTGTAAAAAGCTATTTATATGTTGATCTATATGAGCAATATGAGATGAATAAATGAATTTTCTTGGTGTGAATGAGCATAGCTTGGCTATAATAACAATGTTTATGTGCTCTACAGTGCATATTTACTGATATTCATTTTCTTACAATGATTTGCTCTTGTTCTTTTTTGGACTTGATTAGTGCTGAAATTTCTTGATTCAGAGTTTATTTTAGTGCTCATTTATTGAAATTCAGAACAAATAAAGGGGTTGTTTATTTCTTAATAGTTCAGGTTTTTTTTCTGGAGGGATAAATTTACTAGTCACTTGACAAATATGCTCAAAAAAAGTCATGGAAATGCCTCATTTTCCTGAAAATAGATTTTATAAGACTTTAGAGAGCCAACAGTAAACTTCATTTATTTCATGTTGGAGTCAACAATATCCACTGCAAGATATTTGTATAGATCTATTTTTGCATAAGTAATCTTTATGTGCATAAAAGTAATTACTAGCATTTTAAAGCACATTTTGGTCTATGATTAACTGTTTTTTAATATCCTACTTTGTGTAGCTTAATATTCAAATTTTATACATTTAAAATCTTTGATTTATTTTTTAATTATTTTAAGATTAACTTAATTCAGATCAGACTTTGTGTATCATGTTCATACATTATTAAATGGTGATTGTAAGTATTTACACAGAATTGTGTTAAATTATTAATTAATTAATTATAAAGCTACCTATGGTATTTATTATACCTTTGTAAGAGAGGCCTAGGGCCACCACAGAAGCTCTGTGTACTCCTTCAGACCTTCTGGTCTCATCATCTGTGTACTTGGGGAGTAACGCCAGTTTAAAAATATCAGTGAAAGACAAGAGGACAAAATAAACTGGGAAAGCTGTGCAGCAGTCAGCATGTCAGCAAGTGGGTGAAATTTGAGCCTTACTGAGGACAGTGAGAATGTTGGTCAAATTTCTCCTAACTACAAATACTATTATTTACTCCATGCAGGGGGAAGTGAGGCCTTTCACTCAAATGTGGTAAGGGAGCATAATCCAGTTGCTTTTAATAATTTATTTAGCTCAGCACAATCCAGAACAAACATTATGACAGAAACTTGGAAAGAGTAAGTGATCATCATCTAGCCCCAGGCACATTGTATAGAACACAACAGGGCTGTCTGGCAGACATCAGCCCCAAGGCTGTTTCAGGGAAACAGTGAAAACTACAGTAAATAACATACTGAGAAAGAGAAAAAGAAAAGAAGACACCAGTGATACCATATAAAACCAAGAATGGATAAAAACAGTAGAGTTTCTGGTCAATGTTTTATTAAACAGAACTACATACCATAATAATGAAAAATTTAAAGGTATTTCTAAAAGATAAAGATTTCTAATGAGATAGAAATAAGTTCTCTCTCAGATGGACAGGGAGGCAGTTTGCTTGAGGATGAAATGGTAAGCAGCACTGTGAGAAAGACTATAAATTTTATAGCTGAGATGCTTTCAGGAATAATATTTATTTTCTTTTCTAGTCAATTTTTTGATGTGAAGTATTTGTAGTTTTGTAGAAGTGCAGAGTTGAGTTCTATTTCCTTCTAACACTCAGATTTTCAAAAATTTCTAGAGATGAAAATCTGGAGCACTGATAGTAGTAACAAGAAAAGCCTTGCCTCCATTTGTGAAAGATTGTTAACTGCAGGAGCTGAGGTAAGATCTGGGTGTTGTTTTTTAAGAAACAGAAAGGAATCCTCTTGTTCAAAGCTTTTTCCATACAAATAGTCATTACCCATAAACTTAACCCTGCAGTTGTGAGATGGCATCTCAATAAATATTTAAAATGAAATTTTTGAAGGCAATCAAGCAAGCCTGAAGGGGCCATCACAGTGAACATGGTTTCTCTCTAGGTAACTCATGCCCAGAGTTTAGTGTTCTCCCCAGTCCCTTGTGAAATACCAGACACGTGGCACTGGCCTGCCCTTTGTGGATCAGCTTGTTTCCTAAGAAAGTATTTTTGCAATTGACCCAAGCATGAGTTGTGCCAGTGTGTTAACTCTGTGTCTGGTCTGCTGGCTGCTGAAGCACAGTTCTTTTCATCCTGGTACAGGCAGGGTGCTGCAATGAACTATGGCCCTGAAGATTGCTGGTGAAGATCATATTCAAATAGTCTCCACGGCCATTTTACTAAAGATTTCTGGAAATGCATTGCATCTTTCAAAATATTGGAGATAAATGTTTTGCCATTGCCATGGGCAAGGATTTCTGCAGGAATTAATTTTTGGTTCAGTACCTCTTTGAATAAAAAAATGGAAGATCCTCGCAACGCATCTATGACTGTAGCTGTTTTTTTTGGCCTTCTGCCCCTTTAGTCTAAAAGAAATATGAAAATAATGAATTAAGGAGTACATTAATTTATTAAGCATGATTTCCATCCTTCCTTTTGAAAGTGTTTGCTTATCACCTCTCTGTTTATTTAAAGTACACATTACTGAACACTGGGGTTTTTTTTTAAATTACTTTTATTTCATATTTGATGAAAAATTCTAGAACTAAATATAACAATGTTAGCTGAAAAATAAAAAAAATCCTTCATTTACAAAGGTAGGGGAAGGGAAGCAAAACAAAGCATCAAAATACTCTGTTTTATCTTTCATAAAAAATTTGCTGCTTTCACAGTAATTTCACAGAAATTCATGCTTCTTGACAAAAATTCACTGTGAAAAAAACATTTCTTACCAATAAAATAGAAAAGTCTGTATTAAAAACAGGAGCTAAACAGTCATCAAACAGAACATAACAATAATATGCAACTGAGTACGACAAGAAGAATCTCCCTCAATTGAACCTCACAGATATTTGTGGTATGCAGGATGCAATCAGGTCTATCCTCCCACTGCTATGAACAGTTCCACTGATGGGAGTTTTACAACAGTGTGTCCTACATCTGGTTATTTTTCAAACAATGGTTCTTTCTCACTATAATCCAGCAGGAATTGATCATATTTTCCTGATGTGAGGGTCCTTTTCCCATCTCTGATACTTCAAAGTATCCTATAAGCAGTGGAGCTCATATTCTATAAGCTGTGTTCATCCTGCCTGTTGCAAGATGAAATAAATTGCACATTCATGGTAGAAAAACCCAAACCTCTTCTAGAGAAGGTAATTATGGGTCATCAAAAAAAAAAATTATAATAATCTAGGATCCACTGATGGTGCTCCTCATCCAAGAGAATGGTGAAGGCAAAGGCTGCTTTATTCACCCTATCTGAAAGTTTTCCTAAATTGCAGTAGTGTTACACATTCCCAAAGATAAAGAAATTTCGTGTGATGGTTAGAAATTAGGGTATTCAAATTTTCACAAAATGTGTTCTTTGCTAGTGACAGAAGACACATAAGCCAATTAATTAAGTTTGCTTGCAACAAAAATCCTCTCCAAAATTTTTCATCTGAGTTTCTGAAGGAAAAGTAAGACCAAGAGCAAAAAGATAGATCACACATGCAGCATTAAAATACTGGAATAACTGGAATTCCACTCTCCTCTTTCTAACACTAATGATACCAATGGAAAATACATGTGAACTGCTGGAAAGTGTTTCTCTTCCAAGGTCTTGAAAACTTCAATACTCATTAACAGAGTTATGTGACAATTATCAAGTGGCTTCCTAAATTTCGTGTAAAATTTTTCCTTTGCTCTCAGGCTCACTCTGGGAGTTTTTGCTTCATAAAGCTCTTTACACTCAAAGGAAAACTTAGGGCAATATTTTATGTTACCATGTAAAACTACAGAGCTTTGTAAGGTTTCCAGTGGAAACCACAATGCCTCCCTGGTATATCCTCCCCTGGTAGCAGCAGGTGTCATATTTTGTGGATTATTTAAATTGCATTGGAAGGTTATAGTTAGGACCCAGCATGAGCACAGAGAAAAAGAACAAAAGAGTTTCAATGACTTATCAAAACTGCTATTTCAACTTACATACAGAAAAGAAAAAAAGCCTCCTGAACTCTCTCAGTAACTATTGGCAAGTCAATGCACTTTTATAGAGATCAACAAAGCACACCTTTTTATATTCTGTCACTTACTGACAGAGAAGTTCTTACTATGCTGGTAATAATTATTATGACTTCATCTTACTAACTGTGGTGGATAACATTAAATATTCTATTCCTAAATTTGCACTCAAATGACAGGAGTGTATATTCAAATTGGTGATAAAAGTATATCTCAATATCAGAGATAATGACTTAGAAATCTAGTTTTTTCCTAAGAGTAATTATTCAAGAAACCAAAAACAATCACTCAGGACTTCTCTGTCATTCAGTCTTGATTTTGTTTGGCCTGTGAAAGTTGATGTGTCAGATTCTTCCCTGCTCCGGTGTTCCCCTCTGCTGTTGACAAAACAGCAGGGGAGGAAAAGACTAATAAATAAACAAATCCTAAATCATTGAAATCATTATTTTATTTCTTATTATGAAATTAGGTGTGTTATGTCTCTGTAACAAGGTGTGGTCATAATTTCTTTCTGAATACTGTGAATAAGGAATACAAATGTTCCTCAGATCTCCAAGATGAATGTTTACCTACTAGGAGACAGAGCAAATAATCATAATACTGAGAAGTGTATATATTTTGCATTTAATTAATATCAAACCCAAAATTATATTCTTTTTCCTGCTCATGTTATGTCTTATCAGGAGCAATGCCAGTTATCTAGCTGATTACATTAGCATGAATCCACATAAGTAATTTGACATTTAGGTCATTGTTTTGTAGCTGGGAAAAACAGTTTTATGTTCAAGCTCAACACATATATAGCAATAAAAATGGAGGACTAGGCAGATCTGCCAGAAGAACTGCAAATCATTTTAGATTGTAAGAGAGAGAATTAAGTATATACTACTTCAAAATATTTGCTTAATTAGTCCTTGAAAAGCCAGTTTTATTTGAATTTGCTGACCTTGTGATGTAGTTTGCTTAAGTGCTTTAGCTAGCCTCAAGTCAGAAAGATTTTTTACTAATTTTAATATTTCTTTTAAATCAGATTTACTGTGAGGTAAGTTGGTACAGCTCATCCTGACCATAAGGAACACAACAGATGGAATAACACATCATCATTTTATCTTCAAAGGCATATTCATGTCTTCTGGTTGTTTTTCCAAGTTACACAAAATTACAACACATCCATGCTTTGTTCAGGTATCTTACCTATTATTCATTTCATACTTATTATTCATTCTCTTTCTGTCTCGTCTGTCTTCTTTACCAAGAGATCTATGCCTTTCCTAATGTATTTTTGTTCACCTTTTAATGTAATTAATTAAAATAAAATTTTATTAAATGAATTAATTAACAAATAAATTATAATAAATTATAAATTACTGATAAATTATTAATAAACAAATAAATTAATTAATAAAATAAATTCATTTAACAATTCTTTGTATATTTCATTATGTACTTCATTTTTCCTTGATTTTCTTACAACAGGTTTTTCTGTGCAGCCTTAGGACTCTCTCAATAGACTGACACCAAACTTGACAAAGCTGCTAATACATCAGCAAAGGGTGGGGATGCTGCTGGTGTGTTCTTGAAGTAGATTCAGGACTACACTACAGACTAGCTATTGCACTATTCTGTAAAAATGCTTATATTCCACTAACAAATAGAAAAATCAGTGTTCTAACAGTCAGAGGAATAAGCAACAGTGGTAAGAGCTGCAGTTAGCAGAGCATGAGAATAATACTTTTTGTGAACTCATCACTTGAATGAGTGTGAATTCCATTACATTGGCTTATAACTAGCGATCTGATATTTTCCAATTAATGACAAAACAGTGTGAAAAATGTGTTCCAAATTGTTTCCTTAAATCAATAAAACAGTGAAAACATAAAAGAATGGGAAAAAAACCCAATGAAAATCATACTCTGTGAATCTAAAAATATCACCCTTAAATTAAATTGATTCAAAGTTCATTTTACAATTTTTTTTTGTTGTTGTTGTTTGTTTTGTTTTGTTTTGTTGGTTTTTTTTTGTTTTTTTGTTTGGGTTTGGTTTTTTTTGGGTTTTTTTTGGGAAGTAGAAAGCATTGATATGGAACGTCTCTTGCAGGTCTTTTGAAATAACTCTTGGAGGTTTTTTTAAATTCCAATTACTTGAAAGTTATGACCACAAAAACCTGCAAGGTCCTATCTCTCTTAGAATAGTGAAGAAGCTAAAGAAGGAATTTCATGCACTGTAAGATTTCTGGAAGCACAGCTGAGGATGTAGAATGTATTGGAAATAAGTTGCCATGAAAAGAGGATTCAGGTAAGTGTGAAAAAGAATGGTTTACACTTGTTCTGCCTTTGCAAAAGTACTCTGCATAGTTCATCAAATTTCAAAGCAATTCTGCCCTGTTTTCTCCTTGAATTCTTCATCTACATTTTGCAGTTGAAAAACAAACCTGAACAACCAAACCCTACATCTTCCTAGTGGAAACTGAAGTTTGATTAAGTTTATTTTTCTTAAAGCCAGACATGCTTCCATGAAAAGTTTTAATTAAAAAACTGTAATTCTACACATAGGAATATCATGTAAACTCACTGAAAAGGTATATTTCCATTTAGAAATGCTTCTGTCCTAGAAGATAGTGTGATTTCCTGCTATCACTACTTTCTCCTTCTGGTCACATTCCCCAGTCAGACTCAGTCTTCAATGATTCACTATAGAAGTCCCGGAGCAGGAAAAATGTATTCTAGCCAGGGAATCTGTCATATGGAGGATGGCAATACCAGAAAGCATTTGAACTTCTTTTACTATCAGTCTGGGGTAAAGGCTGTCACAATCTTTCTGTATAAAAAAGTCTGTTTTCAAATTTCTAAGTATTTTCATCACTTGATTTTCCAATTAAATGTAAACAATTGTTATGAGGGGGCACAGCAGCTGTCATCAATATCTGCTGAAACAAAATATCTACGTTTGAATGTTTTGTCCATACAGGAATGAATGAAGCCCAAATATATAGCAGTTATGGTAATCCAGCTCTAATTATACATTTTAGAAGGCATGAGAATATTTTTAGATAGCATGTCATTGCCATCTAAGTTGAAATCCAGGCATTACAAAGTAGAATGTCAAGCAGACATTTCTGTAGGTAGCTGAGAGGTGATTTTCCATTTGAATTAGTTTTTCATATTGATAGCCATGAGATTTAGAGGTCAGGAGGAGAAGTATAATATTTAACTTTCCAAACTGTGCAACAGCTCCCATAAACCAAAATTACAGCCAAAGAGCCAATGCTGAGAGCTTTTTAACGACCCTATGAAGCCAGTATGTTTGCCTATTTATAATAACACTGTGAAATATGAACCTAAAATGTATGATTAAATTGAGTTGAAAAAATGGTAAAATTCCATTAGAGAGGATCTGTTAATATACTCTAACTGAGGAGCTTTGTCTAAGCCTGATTTTAGAAACTTTATAAAAAAACAGGCATAGCAAAATGATTGGTGGAAAAGGATAGTCAAGAGAAAAAGTCCCTCTTGGACTTAGAATATAAAATAGGAGTGTCATTGTCTGGTTTTCCCTAATTTGATGGGGAATACGAAGTTTCTAGTACATTAAGTATCACTTCAGCACTTCAGTTATAATCAAATATCTGTTTTATTTGTTGACCTCCACAAAAGAGAGTAATAATGATGAAGAACAGCTCCCAACAAAAAAAGAGCTTTATAATTTAAATTTGGTGGCACAGGATCATTAACTACATGTCTGAAGTGTATAAGCAACAAGGAAGCAGAAAAAGGACAGATATATCTGTATCTGCTTTACTTTTTTAAGTCTGCAAACTGTAATTTGCATGTTGCCAAGGCCATTGTTAGAATAGCAGAAAAACAAAAAATGTATTTTATTTCCAATACTGCTTAAACAGATGCCATCCAGAAACCTCCCTGTCAGAGACAACTCCAGGGGTTTCTGAAACTGCTGTCAGGACACTATAATAAAATGAAAAGCTCTATTGATAATTTCTCTCCAGTCTGACCACACTACCCTGCTGGCCTTGGAGTGGATTTACAGTTACCTTTCTTGATTCCTCGTTAGATTGTGGGTTTGAGGTTTTGAACATGTTCATGGACTTCTTATAGCAGCAGTGACACTCACAGTAGTATTGTGATTCCTGGAGGTCAAAACTAAATTCTCTGCTGATGTCTAAGGAATTGATTACCTCTGTCTTGAAGACTAACTCAGAGATTATATTCAGAGTGGAGCAAAACACAATTATGCTTCATTTTGTCATAATAATGTTCACCTCAATAGAATAAGTGCTCAAAACAATAGCAATAATGATGTTCACAATTGATTTCAGCATACACTAGCAGTGTAGGCATGTATCCAGGATTCTTGCTATGCTTCTAGAGATTTCTAGAGACTTATGTCTGTGCCATCATTCCTGTACTAAAGCTGACTGGAGTATGGCTTCCTGAACACAGGTAGATAAATCAAATGAATATGGAGAATACAAGAATGAATAAATATTGACTCATCAGCATGATGAAAGTGATTATAGAAAACTTGTTAACTAGATTTTCTCATTTTGGCAGACATATTGGCAGAGAGTATTTCAGGGAGGGGTCTAGAGATATTAAAGCAGTGTGATTGCATGCAGCTGGATTTGTTATTCAGACTGTCTTTTTTTTGGACTCTGACACTCTGTAGAAGCCCTGTATACAACAATATGTAAGGAAAAAAACCCAAAACTGCAGAAAAGCTTAAATAATTGAGTATGGAAAAATGGTTTCCTTAACAGTGATGTTTCAAATTCTATCTAATGTGAAATATGTTTTTTTGCCTGTTACTGACACAAGGAATTGGTCCTCTCAGTGGGACATTCACTTTTGCAAGGAGAAAAACAGGAAAGCATACACAATGCTTTGAAATCTTATTCTGGGTATACAATAGAAGTAAATGTACATTTCATCAGCAGAAGACAAAATGTAATGATTCATTATCCCTTGCTGTTTCTGAGAAGTACAAATAAAAGTCTGATTTCATCAGCTATGTCTCTAAATCAAGCATATTGCTATAGCCTCTTGATTTTTCTTTCTCTATATTCAGTTTCTTCTGAAGCAGATTTATGCTCTTTATTTCTACAATCTAATCAGGCTGTGTAGAAAGAAATTTCTTCTCAAAATGCTTTCAAATGTAGACTGACCATCAGCAATAATCCATTGAAAGAATAACTCTTTACATATCATGATACTGTGTTCTTCTAATATTGTTGCTTATCTGTGTTTTCCCCATAAAACTGCCAAGCAGCCTATTGGAGGTTTATCACATCTTCCATATGCAGTGAAAAATAAATTTGGAGCATGAAGCTGAGCCTCTCTTTTATTTGTAGCAGGTGTTGGCTCACTAGCACTTTTAAATTTAGTCCATCCTGACTATGAGAACAAAATGTTTCAAATTGGCCTCGTTCTGACTTTAAAAGCACTGTTTACATCTGAGCTGAGAGATAAAATCAAGGGGTTTTACAACTTTGAAATTAAAGGAACGGCCTTAAAAGGTTTCAGGAAGATGTCTTGCAAGGCAATACTCATATGTCAATGGCCCTGTGCTGGACAAATTATTGAACACAGACGGTTGTATTTCTCAGCACATTAAAACTTTCAAGACTTCAAAAACATTCCCATTCCTCATCCAACTGGAAAAAAAAAAAAAAAAGAAAAAAGAAAAAAGAAGAGGGATTTTTATCTCCAAGTTTTCCACAAAGAAGTAGATAATAACTGAGTAACTGAGTCCTAAGTGCTCACATCTCTGTGGTTGTGGAGTTCTACATTCCAAATAATTGTCTTTATCATTACAGTAGTTTAGTTAGTGTTCAGGGCTTCATTTTCCTTCCTTCCTTCCTTCCTTCCTTCCTTCCTTCCTTCCTTCCTTCCTTCCTTCCTTCCTTCCTTCCTTCCTTCCTTCCTTCCTTCCTTCCTTC